AAAAAAAAGATTTGGCAGAGCCAGCCCAGCTCTCACAGAGAGCTGAGGTAAAGGGGATCGAGCCCCGACGGTCACCAAGCCTGCGGAGCCTTCCTACCTGGATGGAGTATGTCGTGTTGTAATCACTGTACAGGTTCTGAATGGCGACGTCGGAGCCGTTCATGGTGCAAGGACTGTAGGGTTCCCCCTTGCGCTGCAGCTTGTCCTGTGGAGAGAGGTGGCTCATGGAGACCCCTGCTAGTCTCCTATATGTGTTTCCCGCGGAACCAACGGGATGCTGCAAAGGGGTGGGGAGTTGCAGGTCCCAGAAGGCGCTGGAGGGCTCAGCGTGTCTAGAGCATTGTCAGACACAGTGAGGTCTGCACTGAGGCAGAAGAACGCTACTTCCAGGCCATGGTAGGACAGGGAAGCTTCTCCACTCAGGCTACCCTGGGGACCCCTGTTGTACCACCAGCACCCCGATGGACGTCTCAGTTCCGGTCAGAGCGTAGATGCCCTCTTCTTTGATGAAGGGGTATGTCCGCTGTTCATGAAGCATCAGTCTGGCCCCTGCTGTGGACGCAAGGAAGGGGACATAGTCCTCCGGGCCGATGTCCAGGATCAACTTGAGACCTGTGCGGGAAGGATAGGGAGGGCAGTTGAACTTGGACATCCCCCAGATGGAAGGGAGACCTGCCACTCAAGTGTTCACGCCTCATTCAGCCAAGGGGATCCTCCTGGGCTCATGTGTCCCACCTGTAGTCTCCACAGCATGCCCTGCCCACCCGTGGTGCACAGCCCATTCCCTCCACGACGACATGTGACCTCATTCTCCTCCGTTCAGTCCTTCCCAGTGGTGTTTGCTCCTTCCTGTTACACCCCTGAAGATGCTTTTCCCTCGCTCTGGAATGCCACTCCCGCCCTCTCCTTTCTTCTGGAACGTCCCACTCTTTCTCTGGGCTGCAATCAGTATCACTTCCTCCAACAGCCTTCCTGATTGTTCAGAGTTGTCAGTGTGCCCCCTCCTAGCTCTGGAACGTTCCTTCCCAGGACCCGCCTCCCTTGCCTTCTCTTTGTCTGTCTTCTTCCCAGCTGGGCTGCCTGGTTTGGAGGCAGACTTGTTCCCAGCCCTGAGCTTGGGCCACTAGGGTGGCCATCTCTGCCCGAGACAACCAGAGCTGCCACTGGCTTAGCACTTGCTACATGGTATGTGCTAGTGAGGTGCTCATTTAGGGCAGATCTGGCTAGGTAGCCCAGGCTGGCCTCCAACCGGTGATGATCTTATCTCAGCCTCTTGATTGCTGAGATTGCAGTCTTCTGTTATTATGCCTGGCTATAAGGTGCTTTATTACAAAATATCCCTATTATTGAATGCTCACCAAAAAACACATGAGGTACTATAATTATCCCGGTTTTACAAGTAAGCAAACCAATACAGAAAGAGGTAAAGGGATTTCAAACCGATAAAGAGCTAAAGGGACTTTTCCGAGGCCACATTGGGAGGAAAAGAATTTTCTAGGTTCTAAGGGGGCCCACTGGCTCCTTATTGTAATTACGTGTCTCTCAAGAGAATAGTTCAGCCATCTGTTGACTGCTTTCACTAACAAGGGCTGGGTTAAGGCGGTCAGCTCTGTCGCCTCCTCTTGGCCAGTAACTCTGATGGTCAAGGAAGGCCATCTTGCCTTTTGATGGTTAGGAGTGTCACAGCCTGAGACTGTGCCATGCCCCCAAAGTGGGTGTTGGGGTGTGGCCTGAGACTTGTGGTCATCTATCTCACGTCAGCCACTCAAGGGTTGGATTACAGGTGTGCACCACAACAGCCAGCATCCTCTAGAGCACAGGACGGCGGAATGGGAACCTGTCACCAGCTGTGTTCCACTGCCTCTCTACTCCTTGCTCTTTCCTGCTGTTGGGCTGCTCTTTGTTCTGTCAACAGTCAGTGACCTTGGACCCATTGTGTAAAACCTTTACAGAGTGCCCAAAACAGGCTGGACATTCATGCTTTCCCAATCAGATGAGGTGGCCTCTTAACACAAGGTGCGTGACTCAGGAGTTGAAATTGTTGCGGGCCATTCTTAGCTACCACGTACTGTGTTCTCAAGGAAGACATTGATGTTTTGAGAACGTATCATAGCCATGAGTTGTGACAACAAATTAGGAATACCAGTCTGGACCCCAGCCTCGCCATAACCTAACCTTAACCCTAACCTTCACCTAACCCTTACCCTAACCTTAACATTAACCTAACCATAAACTTAACCCTAATCTAACCATAACCCTAATACTTACCCTAATGCTTACCTAACCCCTAACACTAACCCTAACCTAATTCTAATCTTAACCTAACCATAAACCTAACATTTACCCTAACCCTAATCTAACCCCTAACACTAATCCTAACCTAATTCTAACCTTAACCTAATCATAGCACTAATCTAACCATAACCCTAATATTTACCCTAACCCCGAATACTAACCTTAACCTTATCTAACCATAACCCCGACCTTACCCTAACCATAACTATAACCCTAACCCCTAACCCAATCCTAACCCTAACCCTAACCCCTAACTTAACCTAACCTAACTCTAACTTGAACCCTTACCCTAACTCTTACCCTGGGCAGAGGGCTCCCCCAAAGGGGTGCTGCCCTGGTCTGCTGAAGAGGGGGTAGGCCGCTGCTGCCCACTTTTCAAACCCTTCAGAGAAGCCATATCTCATAGTGTCTCCTTGCACACCAAAACTCACCAAATTCAGTCCCAGGGTTGGCAGAAGGAAGCGCCATCTCTGTCATGCCCCAGTTGAAGATGTAGCAGTTGCCGTAATCTGGGTAGAAGATAGGTGTGAAGTTCCTGAAATGAACAGCAGAGGCTGGAGAGCAGGGAGCTTTGCCTGGGCAGAGGGCTCCCCCAAGGGCGCTGCCCCATCTGCTGAAGAAGGAAGTGGGGCGCTGCTGCCTGCCTTGCAAACACTCCAGAGAGGGGCAGGAGGGAGAGGCTAGAGTAGCTCTCTCCTTCCAGTCTGCTCCACGTAGCCCACAGCAGGGAGACTCCTGGAAGACTGTGAGGGGGAAGGGAGCAAGCAAAGGTTTTGCCTTTGTGGCTTGTGAAGGAGAAATGCTCTCAGATCCTTGTCTCAGTTACTACACCTTCAAAAGAACGCGGCCTTGTCCTGTCGCCTTCTGCTTTTACGTTTGAGATCCATCTCACTGTGCAGGCCACGCTGGCCTGGGCATGGGGAACCTCGGCCCTGCCTCTCCAGGGCTGGGGTTCGAGATGTGTGCCACTCTGCCTGGCTTTGTGGCAGCTTCTTGCATCTCTCTCCAGGCTAGGGCTTTCTAAAACCATGCTGTTGCCATCTTCAAAGCAATCAGCAAAGTCTCTCAATGCTATTGATTAGATATACAGCTCCAATTTCTGTTTGTCTTGCAAAGATTAAATTGGTTTATTTAAATCAAGACCTAAATAATTTTAAGGGGTGGTTTAATTGTAATTGGTTAATAAGCCCTGTTAATCTCTTTTGACTGTGTCTCTTGGGCTGATAGGAAAAGCCCACACCACATAAGCCTGACAACCTGAGACTGATTCCCAGGACCCTGAGTGGAAAGGAGGAAACCAAGCATTAAGAGTCATCCTCTGGCCGGGTGGTGGTGGCGCACGCCTTTAATCCCAGCACTCGGGAGGCAGAGGCAGGCAGATCTCTGTGAGTTCGAGGCCAGCCTGGTCTAGAAGAGCTAGTTCTAGGACAGGAACCAAAAGCCACGGAGAAACCCTGTCTCGAAAAAAAAAAAAAAAAAGAGTCATCCTCTGATCTCCATGGATACACACATGGCAGTCATGCACATATGCGTGCGCGAACACACACACACACACACACACACACACACACACACACACTAACAAAATCAAATGAAAAGTTTCAGTTTGATCCAGGAACTACTGAAGATGAGGAAACCTTGTCCAAATGCGATCACACAGAACAGACAGGAGTGTGGAGGTTGCATTAAATAGCAGCACAGACAGTCATCAAGGACGCAGACGGTGGGGAACTTGATGCTATTGGTAACCCAGTTCCTGCAGTAAATAAATTGCGTAAGAGATGAGGAAATCACCTCTAGACAGAAACTCAAAATTCACAGTGTGTGAGCTCAAACTGCATGCTCACTTCGTGTGTGCCAGCCGAAAAGCGGTTTCATAGGCGGTGAAGGACTTGGAAGGAGAGTATGAGTTGCTAAAGACTGAGGATGGGCACGGAGAAGCAGTGGGTAACAAGTCCTCAGAGGCTGGGAAGTGCAGAATGAGACGAATAAGAGCAAGGCCTCTCTTAGGAAGGGGGAGGTCTGATGTGTATGGCACAGCGGGACCATGGCAGTTCATGAGAGTGTGTTACATCTTTTACACAGAGCTGGAAAAGAGGGCTGGTGTGGTGGTCCATGCCTGTCATCCAACCACTCAGGACGCCGAGGAAGGAGAATCTTGAGTTTGAGACCACCCTGGGCTATGTAGTGAGACCTTATTTCCAAAAACAAACAAAACAAACAAACAGAAAGAAACAGTTTTTAACAACAAAAACCAGAAGTGAGGTTTCCCACTGAAGGAAGGATAAGTATTTCGGAAGGTGGAGATGCCTTGATTTGGTCACTGTGTGTAGTAGTACGGTATGGTCACACTGTCCCCACATAGGCAGGACGCATGGGTACACATATGTATACACAACATATATGCGTAAACAATACATCCTATCAATAAAAAAAAGGCTATTTGATTACAAGGAAAATCACAAGCTTGGTATAGCGGTGCATGCCTGTAATCCTAGCACAGGGCTGAATTGTTCCTCCACCTCGGCTCTGTGATGTGGATGCTCTCGTGTCCCGCAGAAGTAGCACTAAAGTGTATTTCAAAGGATGGACGGATGGCTCATCCAATAAGTGTGCTTGCTGACAAGCCTGACCTCCAGAGTTCAATCCCCCTGGACCCTTGGGGACAGAGAGCTGGGTTCCTGCTGGTTGCTCACTGACCTTGGAGTGTAGGCTGTGGCAGAGACTCCCATGGATAAATGAATAAACAAATGTTTTCAAAGTATTCCTCAAAACAAAAGCAAGAAGAACCCCCAAGCAAATACCTATGTATCTACACCGTTCTTTTATATTTATTAAAAACAAGAAGGAAGCCCACCAAATATGAGAAATTTAAATGTCTACTGATGTCCCAAACCCTAAGCCTTTATTCTGTGATGTTTACTAGCAATTTTCACAGCCAGGCCTGTCAGGCTTGGCGCAGGCACCATTACCTGTTGCTATCTCACTGGCCCTAGCTTGTCCAATTCTATCTAAGGCTCAGTCTCTGATCCAAGCTCCCCAGGACTCCTGTTCCCCTTGCTCCCCCACAGTTCTCCTGCTAGACTCCCTGCAGAAGTCCTGTCCCACCTTTGCTTCCTCCATCCTGCCGTGGAGCAACAGGGCTATTGTCTCTGGCAGTGACTGAGGCAAGGCACACCCCACAGACCCCTCGGCTCTGTCAGTCATTCACTGCACTTCAGCCACTCTCCAGATGTTTGTAAACACAGCCCTCTGCACACCTGCTGTTTCCGGCAGCTAGAACATTATCTAACCAGCCCATCAAATAGTTGGTTTCTTCATTTTCTTCTGTTTCAGGTCCTCCAAGACTCCTGAGTATTCCTGCCTGCTCCCCCCCCACCCCCCGCAAATTAATAGAACTTGGCAGACCTATGACTAGGAGTTAGGAATTGATACCCCCCTCCTGCCCCAACACACATTTCCACCTCTTTACTACCTTCAATTCAGCACAGGACTGGGAAACACACCGATTTATTTGCTTGCCTATCTTTACTCCAGCAATGGACCCTGAGCCTAAGGAGAGCCATGACCTTGGAGCTGCAGGATGCTAGCTCAGAGGTACTGGCTCAGAGTCGTCTGCCTTGAACTGACTTCTGACTTTGTTCTTTCCTAGTCCAGTGAACTTGATGATGTATTTAGTGTCTCTGAGCTCCACGATCACCTTCTATGTGTATATCCCAGGGACAATAGCAGCAGCTACTGCCTTCCAGGACCGAACTGAGGGAGAGATGCCTCGCAAACCGTGACGTGCAAAACACCATGGCTGGTTCTGTTCACACCTCTGCTTCCAGGGTCCGGCCCACAATGCAGCAGCACATGGACATTTGGTAAGTATTTGTTGAATAAACTGTGGTATGTGATAAGGACACTGGGAAGAGATAAACTGGGGGTAGAGGTGAGTCAGGGAAGGTGTCTCAGCCAAGCCAGGGCCTGAGGAGACTCAAAGGCTGAGGAAGAGGAGGAGGAGTCTAGTGGGAAAGGAAAGGGTATGTCCTGTCGGGAGCATAGCACCAGCAAAGGCTTGGAGGGGAACAGGAGCTCTGGGCAGACACCACAGAGTCTATATACTGTGTGGGTTAGTGCTGAGCAAACAGGCTGCAGCCAGGCCCTGTTCTGAAGGGAGAGGCCTCACCCCAGGCTGTGAGGACATTGTGTTTCCAAGTGACTATCTTGGGCAGATGCAGCCCAGAAGGGATCAGGAGACTGCTAGGGTGTGGCCAGCCCCCCACTGCCAACTGAACTCTGGGCTGTCATCTCTGTCCACTTCATTTGTTGGTGATGCCTGTCACCTAGAAAGACAACTTTAGTAACCTCTAGTTCCAGAGCAAGCATCCCCTCTATAAACATTTTCTGGGATAGGGGCCATGAATGCAGAGGCCAGCAAGCAAGCCTTCGGAAAGGACTGGGAGACAGCTAGGGACACTCATGGTCCCTTGCGGTGTCAGGTGCTCTGGAGACTTGAACTTAGGGGTTCCGTGCCAGACTGGACGTTACATCTAGAATAAGAGAAGGGAAGGGAAGGGTGTGTGTGGTTTATATGTGTGTGCATGGGGTTTATATGTGTGTGGTGTGTGTATATGTGTATGGCGCATGTGTGCACATGTGCATGTGTGGGTTGTGTGTCTGGAGTCAGACCATCAGCTCACAAGCTCCAGTGATCTTCCTGCCCCTGTCCCTAGTGCTGAGGCTGCAGGAATGTGCAGCCATGTTCAGCTTTTTAAATGGGTTCCAGGGATTCAAATTCAGGTCCTCTTGCTTGCATAGATGTGATGTTATCCTCTGAGCCATTTCTTCCGTGCCCTGTCTGCCACTTTTCAACAAATACGAAGGAATTCCATTATCAGCTTGCTTTTTACAATGAGGTGGGAGCGCGTTCTGGGTCCCAGGCACAGCTCTAAGCCTTCACCGCCGGCCCACTTGTTCAGTCCTCCGGGGAGCCACTCATCTTTAGATAAGGAAACGGACCCATAGAGAAGCTAAGTGACTTTCTGATCCGTCATTTGTTGTGCAGTCACTGCCAAGATGCAGACGTTTTTTGGTAAAGGCCCCTGTAGGAAGTGGGTGGAGTCTTGAGGGAATGCGTGTTGTTGACGTGGGCACAGCCTTTTCAAGTACCCCAGTGACGCAGAACCATGGGGGTGGCCAAGCCTTCCCTGGGGGAGGCCCAGAAGGACAGACAGCCTTCCTCAGGGCTGAGTGCAAATGGTGGCAGTGTGCAGAAAATCCCACCATAGCTTTCTCCCCCTGAGGAGCAGGCTTGAAGACTTCTTCCCGACAGAGACTGCCCCTACCAAGATCAGCTAAACATATCTCCTTGATCTAGCGGTCATAAGCCAGGCCTACTTGTCTAGCTGTATGTAATAACCCTACTTCCTTGTTCAGTTGTATGTAATAATCTCCCTCCTTGTCCACCTGTATGTATTACCTCACCTCCATGTTCTGCTGTATGTAATAACTTGCCTCGTTCTGCTGTATGTAATAAGCCGTCTCCTTGTTCAGTCGTATGTCATAATCCCACCTCCCTGATCAGCTGTACATTCTGAAGACGCTGAGCCTCCAGGCTGCTGCAGCTTCTCCATTCGAGAGCCCACACCACACGATGACAGCTTCTCTGTGTCTGTGTCTGCTCTTTCTTCATTCCCTCACTTCCCCAGTGAGGTTAGTCCTTGAAGCCATGCGAGATCATGGCAGATCTTTACAGGAAACACCATGACACTGGAGGCTAAGCCCTCGGACACTAAAGAGAATGCTAAGGCCAGAATTCAAGATAAGGAACAAATGGCGGCTGGATTTTGTCTGACTACAGCATTCAGAAGGAGCCCCCCCCCCCCACTTAGCTTCTGTGAGGAGGGGTTAAGAAAAGGAAGGTGTCTTATTGATCCTAAGGACAAGCTTAAGAGACACAAGGTTAAGCTGGCTGTTCTGAAACATTGCACAGTGACAATGGCACAATTTGTCACCTTGGTGGAGATGGCTGGGTGCTTTCCCTGGTAGTCACGTGGACAGACATTACCAAGGCAAGTGTTGTCTGACTGACAATTGCATATGAATTAATAAAAGAATAGGAAGTGATAGGGGAGAGAGAGACAAAGACATACACAGAGAGAGACAGAGAGAGACAGGCAGAGAGAGAGAAGCTAAGTGGTTGGGGTGGGAGTGTCTAAACACGCAAGTGCTGGCTAATGTTCAAATCTAGACTGCGTGATGTCTCGGTGTAGCTCTGATGCATACTCCTAACTCTGAATCTTTCTTTGGAGGAACATTTATATGGCCAAGAGAGGGCACAGAACCAGAGAGCAAGGAGGCCAGGGATAGCAGCATCAGAAGCCCAGGATGGTAGAAGGCAAGGTCACAGTTCCACTCAGGTACCACTCAGGAAGCTGGGGAGTAAGGGACAGCCCAGATGCAGGTTGGCTATGGTTTCGTGACAAGGTGGCTGGGTGGCCCCTATTGTTCAGAGGCTTGGCTTGGGAGATTTGAAAGAAGTGGGTGGAGAGGGTGACTTCAGATAGCTTTGTTTTCTTTCTTTTCATTCTTTCCCTTTCCCCTCCCCTATCCTCCCATCCCCGCCCCATCTCTCTTTCTTCCCAGGGTCTCAGGCAGCACAGCCTTGAACTCCTGCTCCCTTGTCTCACCTGCTGGGACTACAGGCATCTTGCTGCCATGCCTGGGTGTCTGAGCTTCATTTTCCATGAATTATAGAGGCCTCTGATTCTACCACTTACCAGTGGTGTGACTTAACCTCTTTGAGGCAAGTGGGAAAAATAGTACCTTTCATGGCTTGTTGCCGGGATGAATTATAATTTCATATGTGAGAAGTGTTCAGAATAGAGTTTGGCCCATAGGAGGTCCAGTAAACATTGCATCATGACTGATTTTGAATTCCTTATCAAATGTGGGTTTAGTAATAAGAATAACTAGGTGAAATCCAACCTGCCTCAAGGCAGGCCTGTCCTTTCAATGGATTATCACGATGCCATTATTACAACCATGGTGACCACCATTTTCTGATTTGCATTATAGGACATTGGTTCTATATTGCATGGCGTGTGTAGCCAAGGAATTATTGGTCCCCCTGTCTCTGCGTCCTGAGGGCTAAGACCACAGGCTTGTACCATCACTTCTGGTTTGATTGGCAACTCCTTGATACTGTGTGCAAGATGCCTGTCCAGACACCTGAGTAGAGAGGAGGGCAGAGGATCTGCAGCTCTTGGCCGATGCTTGGCTGAGCCTGTGGAAGGTTCAGGGCCGAGCCTATGGTTCCTGGAAAACGAACCTGGATGCAAGCCATATGCCCAAGTATGAGATTTAGGAAGGTGGCCCAGTGTAGCCACAGAATTGGGAACTGAAGTGAGAGCTCAGACCAGGAGGACACAGTCCCCATGTCCAGGCGAAGGAGACAGGCTTCTGTGGACAAGCTGGAAGATAGCCCAGACTTCCTGGGTCACTGTCACCCCCTGTCCCTCTGCCACTCTCTCGCCATGAAGGCTCATTATAGGGAAAAGAGGCTCTCCAGCCCTCATGGCTCTACTCTGCGTGCCAGTGTGGACCTAGATATACACCCTTCACAGTGACTGGAAGCGGCAGGTAAAAGGATTTTTCTGTTTTAGAGAAAAGAAAACAAAAGCCAGACAATGCCAGGTGCCCACCCAGATATGCCATCAGGTGGTTTACCATCCCCCAGCTGTTGGGAATTGTAGACTAATGACCCAAGGTTGCCCCTGTTCCTGGGGTGGCCAACAGCCAAGTCTGACTGCTGGGGACATTATAAACGGCCTAGACCCACTGCCAGTGGAACAGCTCTGTGTTTTTATTCGTGCACACAGCAGCTCTTCTCCTGAATCAGGCCAAGCCCAGACTTCCCCCAAAGTCATCACATCCTTGCCTGTTCTTATCTGCCTTCCTCATCTGCCCTTCCTTACTGACTTGAGCCTGTCTCAGACCCGCCTCCAACAAGCTGCAGCAAGACACCGAGGCACACAGATCAGCCTGTGTGCCCGTAAACAGCTACTCTAGAGCTGGGTGGGTCTGACCCCTAGCAGGCCAGGCTCCTAACTCATTCTGTTAGAGCAGGGAACAGGAGTTGCTCTCACCGATAGCTGCAGGGCTCTGTCCCAAAGAGGCAGGCTAGGATTATGCGATCAGGGGCATAGCCCATCCCCACCAGGTCCTTTCGAGGCACTTGTGAGAAGATGTTGGTGGCCTGCAGGATGTACCACTCAGTCACGGCCTGGGTGGCACTGGTGAAGTTCCGGAAGGTGCACACAGTCCCATTGTCGCTGCACTGTGGAAGGGAAGAGGGGTTCCTGAAGACAGCAAGGCCACTGCTCTGAAGAACCCAGCAGGGAAGGGCAGCACCATGTCAGCTGCCCCGTGGCTTCACCCTGGTGGCGGGAAATGCGCTAGAATCCTAACTCACCCATACTCTGGGGCAACTCCAGGCTGGACATACACAGCCACCACTGGTACTCTTAGGCATGAACACGGGACATATGTACAGAGATATGGCTCCTCTCTGACACATTACACATACAGAGGCATACAAAGATACACACACACACAGGGGTAAACACACATACACATTCAAACACACATGGGTACAAACACATATGGACACATAAACACACACACTCAGGTGCACAAACACACACATGCACACACATTCAGATACACAAACACACTTGGGTACACAGACACACAAACATACATGGGTACACACAAAGACATACTCAAACAAATATGACTACAAATACAGACACACAAACACACATGGTCACATACAGATATACTCTCACACACAAGCATACATACACTCACACACACATACACATACACACATGCACACACACACACACACAGGGACAAACATGGACATTGCGCTCGCCCTAAGAGGTGAACATTTAGGCTTAGACTGAATTCTCAGACAGGTAACATGTGACCCCACCCTAAAGTGTGACATCCACTCCTGGGCTCCCGGCCATTTGCTGGTTTGAGTGGGGGCTTTGGAGGCTGTGAGCAGGTGCTAGTGCAAGGCAAACAGTTGCCCCTCTGGAGGCTGCACACCTGACCCTTGTTAATGTCAAGGCTGACCCTCAGAGTAACCAGGGATGCTGCTGACAATGCAGGCCTCGGGGCCCTGAACTGCATCCGTGGGCTCTCCAGGGGTGACATCTGGATCATGGTCTGGCTCGTGACAGCTCTCGGAGATCCCAGATGAGGCTTTCTCCCTCTGGGGCTGTACGAGCCGGTGGCACCTCAGCCTCAATGTGGGCAGTGGTTTCTTGGTCTCTGACTGCGTCCTTTCTACTCAATCCTTGTGAAACTGATATCACTTCCGACTCCAGAGCATGTGACCCAGGACTGGCCAATCACTGGAGGCGGTCCTGTAGCCCACTGTGATTTAGGCTGAGATGTGACCAGGGGAGTTAGCCCAAGGCGTTTGACTGGCTCTATAGAGAAAGAGAAACTGTGGGGAGAGATGGCTGTGATGTCGGCAGAGAGGACACGAGGCCTGAGCTGAGATGGAGGGCAATGAGTTCTCATGAAAGTACCTGAGTGCCTGGATCCATGCATGCCTGGATCCAGATGAGTTCTGGACATCTTTGTGACATGTGCCAATGGCTCCCTGCTTTGCACAAACTCATGCAGAAACTCGTTTGAGCTGCATCACTCTCGCCCCAGGGTCTCAGCCAACACACCAGCCATTTTTACTTTTTAATAAGTGCTTGCAAGGCTCAGGCAGTCTTCCGGTTGATGAAGTGCCGGTAGCACTAGCAGGAGAACCTGAGTTGGATCCTCAGAAGTCACATGAGAAACCCAGACAGGGGCTGAAGAGCTGGCTCAGAGGCTAAGACCACTTGTTCTTCCAGAAGACCCAGGTTTGATTCCAGCACCCTATGGTGGCTCACAACCATCTATACCCCCAGTTCCAGGGGATCCAGCACCCTCTTCAGACCTCCATAGGCGCCAGGCATATGATGCATATGATGCATAGACATTCATGCAAGCAAAAACACTCATATACATAAAATAAAATAAATTGAAAAATAATTAAAAATACGGTGAAAAGGGGTTTGTTTGTAAACTCAGAGCTGGGGAGGTAGAGACAGGCAGATTCCTCAGGCTTGCTGGTCAGTTAGCCTCCCCTAAAAAGAAATGACATCTGAGGTTGTCCTCTGGCCCCCGCCCCCGCTCCCCCATGACAGGTACACCTGCAAATACATCCACACACCCCTTTAATCCTTTGCATGTGTACAAAACAGGCTTGGGTCCTCTCAGCAAATCTTAGATTATTAATGAAAATAGATTGTCACCAACCTCTCTGGAGGGCCATGGCCTGTGCTTGGGGAACTTACCAGCTTCATGGCCACCTTGCACCCCTGGGCATTGCAGATGCTTCCTGGGGCTGGACTGCTGCTGTTGTGGCTGTTCCCAAACAAGTCGAGGACCAGTGGGTGGTCAGGGTTCCGTTCATCAATGAACACCAGGGGTGTGTGGTCCCAGATGGTGAAGTTCAGGGCACTGCTGGTGTTGGTGTGACCAGTCCCTGGAGCCAGAATCCTGTCCAAGACCGCCTCCATCAGCTCATCCAGGTCCTTCAGCAGGTGCTTGACTTTGGAGTACCTAAGTAAGGAGAGGTTGGGTCAGGTGGGCAAGGGGCCACCACAGAAAGAGCACGCAGAGCTTGGGGTCTTCTTGCACACCAGCATACAAGAACTTGTTACCACAGCAGGGCCTGGTGATGCACACCTGTAATCCCAGTTATGTTGGAGGCGGAGGCAGGAGGAGTGTAAATTCAAGCCCTGTCTGGGCAATGTAGTGAGATCCTGCTTCGCTCTGTATTTCTTAAAGGGCTAGAGACATGTCCTAGGGATAGCATGCTTTCCAGCATGTGTGGTGCCCTGGGTTCAGCTCAGACACCACCTCTCTCCCATGGCACCCACGTGTCTCTCTGTTGTCCATTCAGTTCTCTCAGTCACCAAATACATATTAACATCGTCTACGTGCGAGGCGACAGAGGCAGAGACAGCCGCGGATGCCCCTGGTAGTGAAGAACTGTCTGTTGATGACGTGTCATGGGTCAGATGTGTGGGGCTCTTTCTTTCCGTCGCTCTTTGTCACACTTTGTCACCATCCCCACCCACAGACAGGGAGGCTGGCTCTTGGAAGCCACTTTGATTTCTTGGATGACCCCGGGAATAAGGGACAAGGTTGAAGCTGGAATTCAAGTTTGGTGGGATTCCAGCAGCAGGAGGGGGTTTATGCTCAGGGGTCCCCCTCAAAGCCTCTTCTCAGTAGAGGTAGAGGGTGGAGAGGGGGCAGGTCTGTGACCTGAGGACCAGCCCTCTATCCAATGTGGGGTTGGTGAAATTTTTTCAAGATGGAGAGGTGTTGGGACTGTGAGGGTAGCTTCTGTTTTCCCTCCTCCCTCCAGGGGCTCCATGTTAGAAGTGTGACCAGGCCCTGTGGAAAGGGTAAGAAAGTGTCCCTCCTTGAGTTCATTGGCACAGGAGACCACTTCCTAAATATAACCCTAGTAGCACAGACTCTGAAAGAAACAGTTAATAAATGGGACCTCCTGAAACTGAGAAGCTTCTGTAAAGCAAAGGACACGGTCAACAAGACAAAACTATAGAAAAACTCCACATTGGACAGAGGACTGATCTCCAAAATATACAAAGAACTCAAGAAATTGGTCATCAAAAGAACAAATAATCCAATAAAAAATGGAGTACAGATCTAAACAGAGAACTCTCAACAGATGAATCTAAAATGGCTGAAAGACACTTAAGAAAATGCTCAACATCCTTAGTCATCAGAGAAATGCAAATCAAAACAACTCTGAGATTCCATCTTACACCTGTCAGAATGGCCAAGATCAAAAACACTGATGGCAGCTTATGCTGGAGAGGATGTGGGGCAAAGGGAACACTCCTGCATTGCTGGTGGGAGTGCAAGCTAGCACAGCCACTTTGGAAAACAATATGGCGATTTCTTAGAAAATTAGGAAACAGTCTATTTAAAGACCCAGTAATACCACTTTGGGGTATATACCCAAAGGATGCTCAATCATTCCACAAGGTCATGTGCTCAACTATGTTCATAGCAGCATTATTTGTCATAGCCAGAACCTGGAAACAACCTAAATGCCCCTCAACCGAAGAGTGGATAAGGAAAATGTGGTACATTTACACAATGGTGTACTACATAGCAGAAAAAATAACGACAGGCAAATGGATGGATCTAGAAAACATTATAAGTGAGGTAACCCAGATCCAGAAAGACAAATATAATATGTATTCACTCATAAGAGGCTTTTAGACATAAGGCAAAGAAAAACCAGCCTACAGTCCACAACCCCAAAGAACCTAGACAATAAAGAGGCCCTGAAGAGAGACATACATGGATCTGATCTACATGGGAAGTAGAAAAAGACAAAATGGTCCTGAGTAAATTGGGAGCATGGGGACCTTGGGAGAGGGAAGAAGGGGAGGGGATAGGAAGGGAGGGGAATAGAGAAAAATATATAGCTCAATAAAAACAATTTAAAAAAGTGTCCCTCAGAGAAAATTGCTGTGGTAGCTAATATTAATCTCTCTCTCTCTCTCTCTCTGAGTGTGTGTGTATGTGTACTACATGTATAGTGTGCCCATCGAGGTCAGAAGAGGGCATTTGACTCCTGGGCTGGATTATCCTCAGTTGTGAGCACCCACTGTGGTTGCTGGGAATAAACTTGGGTCCACTGCAAACTTTCTTAACCATTGGTCCATCTCGCCAGCCTCGGCTGTTTTTATTTTTTTCCGAATATGAAAATTGATTACTGTTTGCATTGTCAAATTTTATGATCTTGGTCTTTCCTTCTTGCCTCTGTACAGCGTTGAAAGGAAACCATTGGCTATTTCAACAACTTTAAAGCGGACTCCAGGAATCTCAAGACCCTTTCAACCAAGCCCAGCAACCAGAACTTCATTGTTTCCCGCATCAGAGTAATAACTCAGTATTTTTGGAAAAATCTTTTAAAGTTTAGGGCTTAAAATCTAAAAAAAAAAGTTATTTTAGTTTATGTTCATGAGTATTTTTCCAGCATGTGTGTATGTACACCGCACACTTTCAAGTGCCCATGGAAGTCAGATGAAGGTTTCAGGTTCTCTGGACCTGGAGTTTAGATGGATGTGAAATGCATGTGGGTGCTGGGAACTGAATCTAGTCCTCACGAAAAACAAGTGTTTTTAGCCCCTGCACTGTCTCTCCAGCCTCCAACGTATTTTTTTCTTTTCTTTTCTTTTTTTCTTTTCTTTTCTTTTTTAAATTGTTTTATGTCTATGGGTGTTTTGACTGTATATATATCTATGCACCATATGTATGCCTGGTACCCAAAGAGTCCAGAAGAGGGCATTGTATCCCCTGGAGCTGGAGTTGCAGGCCGTTGTGAGCTGTCACAGGAGTGCTGGGATTTTAACCTGGGTCCTCTGGAAGAGTAGCTGGTGCTCTTAACTGCTGAGCCATCTCTCCAACTCCAGTATGGAAAAAAAACCCTAATGGTTGTTTCCTCTGACAGGTTTCCTCTGCAGAGGGTGGGGGCTTGGTTCTGTTTGGTGCTAATGTTTCCAGCATGTGAACAGTGGTGCACAGTAGATGCTCAGTAAACACAAATGCAGGATCTAGATGCGGCATTGCGGAAAACAGGAAGCGCCATTTACACTGTATGTGGCCTTGTTTTTGAGACTGGTTCTGGCTATACAGCCCAGGTTGGCCTGGAATTCATCATCCTGATTCAGCCTCTGAATGCTGAGGTTATAGGTGTGTGCCACCATACCTGGTTTATAGACATGTATGTAGCTGCAGACATGAAGGGCTGGGAAGTTGGCTTAGTTAGTAAACGGTTTGATCTACAAGTACGAGGACCTGAGTTTGGTCCCCAGCACCTATATGAAAAGGCATGGCAAAAAAAAAAAAAAAAAAAAAAAGGCATGGCAGAACAAATTTGAAATCCCAGGACTGGTGTTCTGGAGAGATATGGATCCCTGGGGCTTGGAAGCCAGCCAGGCTATGCTAATTAGTGAGCCTTGGTCATAATGATGAACCCTGAACCTCCTCTCACCAGGGCTCAGGTATCAGCACGGGGAGGGGCGGGGGAGTCAATGTCTGTAAGGAAACATTTGCTGGATGTGACTGCACAATTGTGCATGTGAACTCACAGCAAGAGCTTCACGAGATCAAGCCAAAGGGAAGGGAGAGGGGGTCGTGAGATCCCACGGCTAGCTGAGTAACTATCAGAAACTGATGGCTGCTGGGGGGTGGGTGTAGGTCAGTTTCCTTCAGAGGTTTGGACCCTAAGGGCGGCCTGTGCTTCTGTAGATGGTCCTACACCCACGCACATCCAGACAGCACTAAGTAAACAGAAGGAGAGAGAGGAGAGAGGAGAGGAGAGAGGAGAGGAGAGAGGAGAGAGGGAAGAGAGAGAGAGAGAGAGAGAGAGAGAGAGAGAGAGAGAGAGAGAGAGAGAGAACACAGGACAAAGAGGTGGGAGATAAGGGAGGAACCAGAGAGATTGGAGAGGAAGTACTGGGGGATGGCTAAATAAACTGTTTTAAATAGGAGATGGACAGTGCCTTAGGCACACACCAGAGGTTGACCTTTATCCCACTCCAAAGTTACTTAGATCTAGATACACTGTGACTCTCTTTAAGTGGAGGAAGCTTAGGATTTTTTTTAAAAATCTTATATGTTGCAAAAAATGGAAGAAAAAAGGGAAAGAAAAGAGAAGCAACAAAATAGACTATGGAGAGAAAGGAGAAACGGGAAAGAAAGGAGGAAAGAAAAGGAAGAGGGAAGAGTTGAGCCGGCTCTGCTCCGGGGACCACCTACTGGAAGGGGCTGGAATTGCAGACGGTGACCGCCGGGAAGTTCATGGTCTTAAAGCCCATGGAGAGGGAGACGCTGACCTCCCAGCTCAGGTAAGTCTGGATGAAGACGCCCCACTGCCAGCACACCAGGCAGGCGAAGAGCAGCGTGAGCAGGAACCACATGGCCTTCTTCTTGGGGCCCTCGCAGATGATGCGTTTGGGGCCGTGTGTGTTGGTGTTGTTACAGTACCACACGAGAAGCTCCTTGTAGGTGTAGCCCGGGCCCTTCTGCAGCCGGTGCAGGCACTTCAGCAAGTACTTCTTCACTGGCATGGTGGCACCTGCTGGGACATGGGATGCCATCAGACAGGACACTGTTGAGGAAATCATAGGCCAGGAGACTGGTTACATGGTCCAGCCCTTTCTCCCTCCCTTCTTTTGCCACCCGCCATCTACCCTTCCACCTCTCTGTCCACCCAACAGAAAAGCCTTTATCGAGTAACCACAGCATAAATGAACTAGCGTCTCTGGACTCAGCAAATCAGACAAGGTGTCTATGGCCCGCCGGGCCCTCTGCTCCCCTCCCCCAGCCCATGCTGGCCTTGGATTTACCTCCATCCCCCTGTCTCTGCCTCCTGCTCACTGTGGGATTACAGGCAAGCACCCCCATGCCCATCCTAGTGACTGAGATTTTTTTTGCCCCCAGGGAATGCCCATCATGATGGATCGGTTGCTAAATTTCTCAGCTCAGGTTTCCCACGTATAACATGATGACATATCTGTTTCTTTCATTTCATTAAAAAATTACCCTATCTTAAAAATTTCGTTTTATTTATTGAATTTATTGTGTGTGCAAGTGTGCCAGTGCATGCTTGTGGAAACCTTCAGGAGTCTGCTCTCTCCTACCACGTGAGTCTTGGAGACTGAAGCCAGGCCATCAGGCTCAGTAGCAAGTGCCTGAACTGCTGAGCCGTCTCTCTCCTCACCCCCTACTCCTTTCTTCAGAGGAGTGGAGGTTAGAGTTTTATGCATGCTAGGCAAATGCTCTGTCACCGATCTCCACCCCAAGTCCGGCCATAGCTAATTTATGGAACTGCTGAGAAGGTGAAAAAAAAAAAAAAGTCCAAGGGCAGCAGAGCTAGTCCTCTTGGAAGCTATCCTGACTCTGAGCTGGCATGACACTCGCTCTCTTTCTGCTGGGGACACTGTGGTGGGCCATTTGGTGCTTGCTGATCCCATCCATACCCCCTCCTCCTTCCCCAACAGTTCAGGGAAACCCTGGCCTCTCCATGAGTGGCCAGGATGGCCCCTGTCATTAACCCTGGGGAATGTATGTCTTCCTTAGCTATTGTCATGTAGACCCCAGAAACTCAATCCGGCCACTTCAGGCTAGAACAACAGAGGAAGAGACCTCCCCTTTAGCTAAGATTTCTGACATAGTAGTTACTGTCACCACACAATAGAGCAAAATCAATATGGGCACGGCAGAGCCTCAAGTCACTAAGATGCCAGCTGGACCTAGCTGTGCCTGAAGCCATTACTTTGAGGGCTGTGGGACCCAAGATGTTTTTTTCTTATGCATGCTGATCCAAATCGGGTCTGTCCTTTGCAATTGTTAGAAGGTTAAGAGGAGCTCATCTTTTTACCCTGTGTTACAGTTTCTCACTGAGATGGCTCCTTCCTTAAACTCTCAAGCTTGCTGTGGGAGGGGGAAAGGCTGCAGCTTCCCTCCAGCGTTACACCCGGCTCTCCACGGAACAGCCAAATAGAACATGCCAGGCACCCCTTTCCGCACTGTCCAAGTGTGTTCACGCCTAATCTGGCTACAGTGGCACCCTCATTTTTCCTCCCGCAACCAGAGTACCAGGGACCTTGCCATTTCTGCGGTCTTCATTCTCTGTGTGAATCAAATTCCACGGCCTCCCAAGTCATTGTGGCTCTAAGGTGAGCATTTACTGACTTCTCCAGCTCCAGCGTCCCTCAGCTGGTCTGTCCTCTGCTCTCCTAAACCATACAGCAACTCTTGCGTTCAGCAGCTCGCGGGTACAGCAGCTCGGACTAGTGTCAACACCCTGACTATTTCCGGCCATTTGCAGCTGCTTCGGATGTCACTTTCCCCTAACCCATTATTCTCATGGCTGGTAAGTGCAAAGAGAATGAGGCTGGCCTGTCTGGAACACTCCAGCACTCCAAGGCCTCCTAGGAACCAGGGCATTAGGTTCCACTGAATTGTCCGTGGCAGGAAGAAAGAAACAAAGGGCCCCTCTTGGGTCCTAACCTTTTCCATTCTCATTTAATCCTTCTGGTTCAGTCAAGGAGAAAGTCGAAGCTCTGATCCTCAATAATCTCCCAGCTCAGCCACGGGGCCTCGGGCTCAGAATACAGTCAGATACAGCATCCGGTTAGAATATGCAACATTTGTGTTTTCACTGAGCTGATTTGTTATTTATGTTCCTAGACCACCCTGTCCTTCATGCTGACCTCAAGCTCCCTAGTTACCTGAGAAGGGCCTTGAACTCCTAAGTATTCAACCTCTTGGAGGACTGGGATTTCAGGTGTATGCTACCATACCTGTCTTGTAATTTATGTTTAATTTAATATTTTTTTTTTTTTTTGGTTTTTCGAGACAGGGTTTCTCTGTGGCTTTGGAGCCTATCCTGGAACTAGCTCTGTAGACCAGGCTGGTCTCGAACTCACAGAGATCCACCTGCCTCTGCCTCCCGAGTGCTGGGATTAAAGGCGTGTGCCACCATCGCCCGGCTAATATAATTTTTTATGGAGCTGGGGAATCAAACCTTGGGCATGCTAGGCAAGTGTTTTGTCACTGAGCTGAACCCTCATCTCTTTATTATTATTGTAGTTGTTATTATTATTTATTATTAACAGGCACGCAGACAACACACTGCTCACTGGACTTGTTTTTAGTTTTTAAATCACAATATTTATTATTTTATGTGTGTATGTATGCATGTGGGGGATAACCTTGGCTATTGTTCCTCCAGCACCACCCACCCTGGTTTTTGAAACAGGCGCTCCCCCTGACCAAGAACACTGGGAGCAGGCTAAGATGGCTGGTCTCTCTCTGTCCCCAAGCAGGGAAGTCTCTGCCTCCCTGGTGCTGGGATTACAAGTGTGAGTCACCATACCTAGTTTTTCATGTGGTTTCTTGGGACTGAACTCTGATTCCTGTGTGGTAAGCACTTTACCAACTGAGCACCCTCCTAGGTCTTTGCTTTTGTGTGTTGGGCTCACATCTGTAACCCCAGCTTCTCTGGAGGCTGAAGGAGGAGGCTCTGAAGCTTGAGGCCAGTCTTGGCTATGTACTTAGCTCACAGCTAGCTGGGGAATCTTAGTAAGACCCCCATCTCCATCAATGAACAAACCAGTCAACCAGTGGTTGGAGATGTCGCTTACTGCTATATTGCTTGCCTAGAATTTGCCATCCTCAGAAAAATGGCACCTTTAAGAAAATGAAGGAACAAGCAAGCGGAGAAGACACCTGTGACATACAAGTGTGACAGAAAACTCGAACGCCAGATATATAGGGACTCTTACAAATCAGAAGGTAAGCAAGAACACGGAGTCGGTTCAGGTAACCAACCACAGATGAATGGAAAAAGAAAATCTGATGGCCAACTATGGTGGTGAGAGAGGCCAAGGCAGAAGGGTTGCAAATTCAAGGCTAACACAGTAAGAGAGGACCTCAAAACAAGACGGAGCAAAATATGAACAAAATTCGAACCAAAAACAGAAAAAGAAAAAGCAATGGAACATTAGTCATCCATAAAAAAGAAAGTAAACCGGGCTAGAGAGCTGGCTCAGGGGTTAAGGGTACTTGCCGCTTTTCAGGGGACCTAGGTTTGGTTCCCAGCACCCACATGGTGGCTCACAAGCACCTGCAACTCCAGTTTCAAGGGATTTGATGCCCTCTTCTGGCCTCCATGGGCACTGCATGCACAAGGCACACATGTTCATGCAGACAAGCAGACAAGGCACCCAGACACATAGCCAGGACTGGAAGGGCAGCGATGAGGGAGGGGGTAAGGAGGAGGGATTGCTAGCAGGGGGCGGGAGGAATGACTTTCTGTTTCTAGTATAGTGGTTACTAGTTGTTAACAATTAATCCAATATTCAGAAGGGGGTAGAGAGGATTGTGACTGCCTACAGCAGAAAGAAATGATAAACCTTTGAGGTGACAGACGCATCATTGGCCCTGACTGTACCAGTTAACACCTAGAAACACCAAAACACCAAATTCACCTCTCTGAGGTCGGTACCCCTAAGTTACCACAACTAACAATGCCAGCTCCACTTTATTATTTGAAGAGAGTAAAACCATCCTCAGAGCCAGCTTACCTCGCTTTGCCTGGTGGTCCTGGGGGTTGAACCTGTGTCCTCACACATAAATGTTGCTCTTCAAAATGGGCAAAGGAGGCTGGCCATGGTTCAGTGTGTAAGTGCACTTGCTGTGCTTGAGGACCTCTGTTGGAATTCCCTGAACCCACGTGAAAAACTGGAGTCCTATGGACTCTCTGGCTGCCAGCCTCAGCTCCAGAGCCAGCGAGAGATCCTCGCTCAGGGGAATAAAGTAAGGCAAGGGGTCATAGAGGGGACAACTGACATATTCCCTTGGCCTCCTCATGGGTGACCACAAAGGGACATACTGCATACATATGCACACTAGAAACACACACACACACACACACTAATAAGATAGCATAAATGTCAAAAGACTTGAAAAACACATCATAAAAGAAGATTATGAACACAATAAAAATATCTCAGGGTCTTTATTCCCTCGGAAAACCAAATCAAACTGCCATAGGGTACCACGTCCCACCCATGGGAGGGCCAATCCCTCTGGGCTGGTAAGGACGTGAAGCAACATGCATGCTGGGAGCTGTGGTGGAATGACTTTGGAAAACAGTTGGGAGACTGTCTTAGTCAGGGTTTCTATTGCTCTTATGAAACATCATGACCAAAGTAAGTTGGGCAGGAAAGGGTTTATTTGGCTTACACTTCCACATCACTGTTTGCTCATCACTGAAGGAAGTCAGGACAGGAATTCAACCAGGAACCTGGAGGCAGGAGCCGATGCAGAGGCCATGGAGGGGTGCTGCTTCCCGGCTTACTCTCATGGCCTGCTCAGCCTGATTTCTTACAGGACCACCAGCCCAGGGATGGCACCACCCACAATGGGCTAGGTCTTTCCACATCAGTCACTAGCTAAAACAATGTCCTATAGGTTTGCCTGTAGCAGATCTTATAGAGGCATTCTCTTATTCGAGTTCCTTCATCTCAGAGGTCTCTAGCTTGTGTCAATTTGACATAAAATTAGCCATCACAGAGACCTATAAATGTGGATGAGCTGGCA